TTTAAACATTTTTGGTTTCATTGCAAGGAAGAACTTCATTTCAAGGTGTTTATGTCACAGGTACACTTGAAACTGAAATACATACATTAGCTCTAGATTTTCATGGACAAATCAATATGCTTTCCTTTAAAAAATACCAACATATTTACCTTTTGGAGAATACAATAGCAAGAGGGTGAGATTTTTTTTTTCTATGTCTTGTTTAATCTCCAGCTGAGTTGGAAAAACAAATGTGCAGTTTAAATTCTTCACCTTGAATTCAGCTGTCCATACTTGTGTATAATTATTTTTTTTCATGTGTGGATCACTAAATTAGCCAAAGGATGATTCAATAATAATTTTAAAGGTTGGCTTGTTTCTGCAACCACAAATTTGAAGTCTCTGGGTGAACTGGAGAATTAGAGTCTTTTACCATAGTCAATAAATGAATCTGCTCCCATGTATTTGAACCTAGTCGGCCTTGGTTCATTTGGGCCAAAAGTAGCACTAGTGAGAGGCAATAAAAATGCAGTTGGTAGTGTTGTATGTGTTAGGTACTGTTCTTCAGGAGAAAACATGAACAAAAGAAACAAAGCCAGAAGTATTAGCATTCTTCTAGAACCCATGAGAATATTGATATTTTAGGAACTAAAGCAGAGTACCAATGTACCCCAGAGGTAAGATGGAAAAGAACCTATCACAGGTGATTTCAGAAATTCCATGACACCCTTCACACCATCTGATAATTACTGATCTTCCTCCATTAGCACATGATTTTGATTTCACAGTGGAAAATTTACACTACAGGGAAAGTTAACTTTAAAAAACTTTCATTCAGTTATATTTTAATGTAAATGAGACAACTAGGAGCAATTTTGAGGGGGAACTAAATGGTTCTGGGTACCCTGAGATGTAATGTGAAGTTAGTCAAGAGATTTTCATGTATTTCTTAATTGTTGTTTTCAAAAATTAGCACAACCTGAACATCAAACACTGCCAAAAGCATCTTTGTCAAGATTATCCTGTGTCCAACTAACACTGGTTTAATAAAAACAAGATATTATGAAAGACTCAGGAGTATTTTGTGGAACACAAAGCAGCCTGACCTCACTAGAAACTGAGATTACTCCCTTGCTTTCTCATTGGAGCCTACGTGTTTCTCTTCACTTCTTCTCCCCATGTATCTACTGCATTCCTTTATTCTCTGCAATTTGTCTTCCTTGCATCTCTACACATACTCTTAATCTTCATAGTTTATGCATTTTATTACCAGCTACATGCAGAGGACAATTCCAGATTAATGGGCAAAAAAACCAGATGAGGCTAGCTTAATGCAAGAGTCATCTCTGCTCTGATCATCTATGACCATGGGTGCAGGATCATATGATATAAATATGGTTGCCTTCCAAGTCCTCGTCTGTTCTCTGATAAAGCATTATGAGCAGAACATACATTCCAAAACCAATCAATTACATCAGCTGGTTAGGTTACTATATTCTTTCATATCTGCACAGTCTTCAAGCATGAAGTTATAACTAAATGGCAACATTTGGACTAGTCAACTGTTGGATTTCCTTTTTTCTAAGTAATTTTTTCTCATTCTTTATTCTGAGTTGAACTTTGTTATTCTATAAATTGCAAACAATTCTAAAAATGTTCCAGTTCCAAAAGTGATACTATAGAAACCATTCTAAGTACATAAGCAGATGGAATTTATACATATTTATACATATGAATCAAAACCAGGCCAACTTTAGGAAAACAGATTACATGCGTGTTTCCTATCCAAACAGCACAAAGTCAAATAGGCCTCATTGAAGTCGGTAGTGCTCTTGGTTTGAATGGGCAAAGAAACTGTAATTGTTACCTCATCTATTAGAACACTTCTCACTTGAAGACGCCATGCACTCACTAGGAGTAGTAGGTTACTGAATTCTGAATCATTCTTAAATGTCTTAAAGCTTGTATGCTTGCATAAATACTTAATAATATTTACTGACCTGAGACAGATAGAAAAACGTTTCCAAGCCTGAAAAATTGGAGAATACTCTGGTTTCTCTTCAGGTCATATAAATCTTTCACCTTTTAAAAACTGGGGGAAGTAACTCTAAGTATCTCATGTTTTGAAAGTCCGCTGTAAAGGTATGTGCTAAATGTTGAAATTTGAACAAAAAAGATTCTGAGGAACAGATTTCTCAAAATTATTCATTATAACATATCATTATGGGTTAAATGTTTATTACGGTCTCCTTGATTTGCTTCTTTCAAGTCTCAAATGATTAACACAACCATATATATAGCTTAAAAAATAGCTAAACCATGTATAAGAGGAATTATCACCTAAAAGTTAATAACTGGAAAACTTGTGTTTGATGTTAGAGATGCTCCATTACCCTGAGCACTGATATAGACAAAGGAGGAGTGACTCTCCAAAAATGCTTTGGAACAGCAGAAGTTTGACAAGGAGAGGTCGCCAAGCATGGCAGCATTATCTGCGGTTGTAGTCAACACACAAGATCAAAGACTACCAGCGTTTATATCTCCATTTAACTCTTCACAATTTAATGTCCTATTCATCACAATCTTAAGAAAATCATCTCCTGCTCAGGTTCAAAATAAAGTTTCCTTGTGAACTATATTTTCATATATTTATTCTGGTGACACTGAGGATTGAACACAAGGCCTTTGCGCTGTGTTGCATTCCCCAGTCCCTTTATTTTTGACACTGGTTCTAAGTCTGTAAATTGCTCAGGTGGTGTTCAAACTTGCAATCCTGCCTCTGTCTCAGAGTGCTGGGATTACAGGCATGTGCAACCATGCTTAGCTGATATTTACTTCTTATTCTACATTTATGATAATTTCACAGAAAATTAAGGGGAAGTCCTCAATACTATCATCTCACACACGAAATGTTTTATGTTGAAATCCATGCCTGCCTGCATCTCATGTGTAGTATAAGAAATGCCTTCAGGTCACCTACAGGTACATACTCATCCATGCAAGTTAGATGTGTGAATAAATATTTTTGATAGGATGCTGTTGATTAATCCTTCTCACATGTAAAGACTGAAGTATTCCAGTATTTCAGTATTTTGACATGATTTTCCAGTATTGGTTCCAAGCTTCTTTTATAATCGTTATTTCTATGAAGTCATTCAACTTGGAAATAATTGCTTGCCAAAACGGAGTTTCTCTGGTGAACCACTCAACACAGCTTTAGTTTTACAAAGAACGCCATTCTTTGTGTGCTGTTAATCTTGGCTTAGAAACACTACAAATTATCCTTTCCACTTGAACAGTTCAGCTCCTGTTCTCCAAGTTATACTTTGGAACCATTAGATTCACTTCTGGAATATAAATGCATGAGTCACCTATTTGGTGACTCTTTGAAAACACATTCCAAGTAAAGATATGTGAAACCTCTGTCCAGGGCAACATTTACTAGTTGTTAGAAATTTCAGGACTTCCTAAGTTTCTTTATAAAGAAAACTGTTAACATTTTATTACATGGAGTTTTGTTATTTAACTTTTGAGATTAATTTGCTATAATGAAACAAAAAATTTGACACAGAATTTAAATTACTGAAATAAATTAGTGCTTCCTGTGAAAATATTCTAAGCACTTAATCTAATTTTTATTTGCCCTTTTAATCTTATGTCACTTAATCTTCTGCTTCTAAAAAGCTATTGGCAGAAAGTCTTAACATGAAAATGCAATGAATTAATAACTTGGTTGTTTAATTGACAAAAATTTCTCTATTTTCTAATCAAAATGATTTTAAAATAGCTGAAGTGGAATATGGTTGACATAGCATAATAAAATGTTGACTTAGCCATCATGGAAAAGTAAACTGAAACTGCTTTCCTGTTTTATGTTCACAATGAAATGTCTCAATGTAGTTTTCCCTTGTCAAATCCTAGAGAAAGTATGTCACCATTTCTTCCAAATTCAGAAAAATTGGGTCACAGACAATTACTAGGCAGGACATGTTTATAAAGGTGATTTGCTCATGAGGATTCTCTACAAAAATGAAAGCACTTATACTGAAAGCATCATACATCAAATTAATGATGCTACTACATCAAATAACAATATAAGACCATTGAAAAGAAAAAAATTGGAAAAATTGAAAATATGTTAGACTCCATAACAAATATGCATGGCTCTAAAAGTTTGATAATAAGAGCAACCAGGGCTTACAGGTGACTTACATTTTCTTCTTACCATAAAATGTAACTGTGGATACTTCACAATTTGAAGGCTCATGAGACATGAGTGTTTTGATATTTTATATTCCAAAATATCTGATTTTGTCAACACGAAAGTTTGCACAATTGTGTATGGCTTATTAATATTATCAGGAAGATTCTGGTATACATACAAGTGAATTCTATGGCATGTCTAATTTATTTTCTGTGCATTTATACACTTCTAAGAGTAATGACAGACTTTGACTTAGTGTTTGGATTATCACACATGAATACACACATATGCACATGCACAAGAACATGCACTAAATATTTAGTGCTTCTTTTAAGAGAATGGAGGAAAGCGGTCTTATACTCTGTAAAAACTGAAAACTACATAAAAACCTATAGTACTGTATATCACTCTTTTGCTATTTCTAACTATGTGATTATAGAGTAAGAAAAAATGATAGCTCACACTACATGTCCTTTCTGTGCATTTTTAAACAGAAAGTTAAAAAGTATTTAATGATACTCATTTTATCATTGATTGCTCATATATCTGAACAGAAAGGATCTGGGTGAGTCTTGGTGAAAACTGGATTTTGGGGAGTCTGGGATGTAGCACAGTGGTTGAATGCTTGTTTGGCATGTACAAGGCCTTGGATTCAATCACCAGCACAACAAGGAAAAACATTTACGAAAAACATGTACTATTAAGCTGTGTTTTCTAAATCTATATATTTAAAAGGAGAAAGTCAACTGAGGACATGTAATATAGAAGTCTTGGCTGAAGGATTTATACAGTAGAGAAGACACAAAGTCAAACCACATCAGTGAAACCACTTTTATTTGTATTTTTTCCACATAGATAACTTCATGTCAACTACAAAAATCATGAAATGAAGAACTGATCATGGAACTGCAAACTCAAAGTAACTGGAGTGATAAACAGGTTTCCCCCCAGACGATTGTTATAAAAAGTAACCAGGATACCATAAATTCATATTTAAGTAGTAAACATGTCATATAGTCAAAAACAATAAATAGAGAATAGCAATAGAGAAATTAATAGCATAAACAGCATGAAGAATATTTTATTTTTAAGACAGATGAAATTTCTAGGCACAGTTTTAGGCATTAAAGAGGACACAGAGGCATAGGTTAGTGTGTGCTGCTCTGTACAAAAATACAGTCTGAATAAATTACATTGCTAGCCATACAATTAAACATCACTTACCAATCAGTTCATTGCATTTTTAATAATATACAGGTACATGCTAATCCATATATATCATTTATATTTCAAACACATAGGTCTCTCTATATTTATGTCTTTAAAATTTACATGTTGAACTTACAAAAAGCTAAATACTTGTGCAAGAAATCTGAATAACTAGCCCTGCTGAGTACTTTTATGCCATATATATATATATATATATATATATATATATATATATATTCATTCTCTCTAAAATAAACAATGAATTGTGGTTGACAGTTTTGCTGAAGGAATAAATGTAACAAACCTAAAGCTGCAAAAACACATTAATGTAGGTAAAACTTTACTTGTGTTTATTCTGATAAACAAAAATGATATTTTGGATGAGCAACAAGTTTCCTGTTATACTGAGCTTTGTTAGTAATAATATACTTCCAAATATCAGTGATGGTAGAAATGCAACATAGGGCTGGCTCTTCACTGGGAAAAGTTATAGAAGAAATCACAGTAAACTGCAAATATGTGTGCCTTGATGTATAGCATATTCCGTCACTCCCCACCTTGGCATATTGACAGGCAGTGAAAAGTTGATACTATAGTGATATTGGTTCTAACAGTACATTACATCCCCCATTACTATGTCCAAGGGAAGTGCCTCATTGATGACAGCACCAAAGTACTGTTCTTTCACTACTCAGGAATAAAGAGATCTTTTCACAACAGTGTGTTTAGTAACCAAAATCCAAATATTTTATTTCTTATGCTGTTCTGAAAATATGCAATTAACTTCAAGTGAGTCTGCCCTAGATTTTACTATTCCTCAAGAAGACTGCTTCTAAATATTCTACAATAATAGTATCTTTCTGGAAAACTTCCACTCATAGTTTCTTATGATTCTTTACGGAATCATATACTTTCATAAAGGTGTCTCTCTAGGATCCACATTTGTCTATCATTACTAAAATAAGAATAAGCCTGGTACTTCATGTTCCCTTTTTTGATTCTGTAGAAAATTCACCATATAAGTGGCTTTTTTGGCATGTGAATAACAAAATAGTTTCATTGGGTGGGGGCTGTTGCTTTTGGCAACTGCTTTTAAGACAAGTTAAAAGCAGAACTCTGCTCTGGGAGGTAAAGCAAATTATTAAATATTCTTGATGCAGTCCTGCTTGTAATGGTTTTTGCAATATAATAATAAATGGATATGCTTTAAGTTATTTTTCCAATGCTTCTCTCTGCAAGAGGGTCAAACTGTAACATTATTTTAGTGGCTTTGTTAACAAAAATAATTATTTATAACTTTTATATTAGAATTGTATATTTCTATAAAAATAGGTTTATAATTAAACTATCCAAATTTGTATATTAAACAGAATTAATACCAGTTTGCATTGTGAGATTAGCTGCAAACTTATTCCGTATTATTGATGTTTTCTTCCATTGGAATAGTGAGTAAATGATTCCACTAATATAAATCCGTCATTATTGCACAGATCAGCCAATCAGTGAATTCCAGAGGACCAGATGATAACCACATGAATTCTATTCCTCTACCAAGACATTTAGACATTTATATAAATCTATCACCATCTTTTAAAATGAAGACATTTCAAATATTTGCAAAAAATAGCAGCCCTCTATTTTAATGGATATTACAAAACCGATCATCTGAACTGAAGCTTTCTTTTGAACTACAGTGCTTAGGGAAGAATCATTCATTTTCCTATTAACACTATTTCATGTTTTCTTCTTAGGTAATTCTATTACTACTTTCCAGGGAAACAGTAGAGAACACAGAGCAAAAGCTTTAAGGTATATATACTTTTGTATGGTAAATGAGTGTGAAAACCAATCTAAGCCTCTTAATGCATACAAGGTTAGTGTTCAAATCACTTCACTAGAGCAAATATTAATTTTACGTGTAATTGGTAAATGTATGTGCAGGGTTGCGAACAACTTATTACGATTTATACTAATGGTTCACCTTCTATAAAAAATATTTAAGTTTGTTACATATGCACAGTTGTTTGCTGCAGTGTTTTGTAAATGATTTAAAGGGTACAAAAGCGACTCATGCATATTTCTTTCTGACTGCGCCAGGGAGAGCAGAGACCCTCAATTTTCCCCATTTCTTGAAAAGTCTGAGGAACAATTTCTAACCACATAATGAAAAGCACGTATCTCTAAGTCTTGACTTCCTTTCAAAGGAGATACTGATTGCCAAAGCCTAGCCTCCCATTAAAAAATGTTCTTGAACTTGGAATGTGTACCATTAACCAGTTATATTCACAATACCCATCAGATGCTGAAGGGCAGTCCACTTTTCAAGAGCTCACTCAATTACCTACAACCAATGTAGTTATTGGGTGGGATAAGCAGGTGATGCAGGATTCAACAGTAGAATCCTTATCAGAGCAAAAGAACTTCTAAATGCTGCTTATGCCAGCTGCTCCCCTGCAGGCAGTATGAGATTCAGGAAATTCACATTCCAACTGGTTTCTCACAATAGTTGCTGTCATACAGACCCTTCACTTGTCAAGAAAGATGACATGAACATATTGGAAGTTTGCAGCATTTGCCTATGTCTAATCAGCTCTCTTAATTTGTGCAGATCCCTAAAATGGATGTAAAAGCTGGTTATGATACTGACAGCCACAAGGCAAAGGGTATTAAATCAAATGAGCAAACGGCTTGATGCTCCACAAGTGATTTAGAAAATAGTTAGAAAAGATGCAGATGTAATTCTTTTGTTGGATGGTTGCTTTTCTTTTGCTTTCTTTTTTTTAAATCTGAGACTCGGTTTTAGTAGTAGTCTTCATAGTTCTTAGGGTTCAGGCAGTAAAGGATGGCACCCCCAAATGAAAATATAGTTGCACCCCAGGCCAGGCCATAACCCCAGTTGAACTCATGATAAATTTTCAAGCTCACAGTTTCAATGAACTTGATTGGGTAAAGGACAAGGCTGCAAACCTGTAAAACAACTAAAAAAAAAATCAAAATTAGAAAATGTTGTGTTTACAGCAAGTAAAACAATATAAACATATACACACACATATACATGAGGGTTACTTTGTAATCAAAAGCCAAAAAATTTAAGATCTGCTTATTTTAGATGGTATAGTTTGAAATATTAACAATTTTCTGTTTAAACACTTTTTCACAATATGGTAATGATTATCCTATTAATAATCAGTGAATCCGTATTTGATCTAATAGTATACTTTAGATGAAGATACAAAGTAGTAATCCTCAATTTATAAACACACATACAATTGTCACTATAATGACAAGTAGTATTAATTAAACTAAACTGTTCTGCTACACAAAACCTGTAAATAGATCTCTATAGTGATGTCAATGCAAATTTAAACCCCTGTCCTTTGTGTGCCTGAGGAACTGAGGAATTCAAATTCATTTATATTAATTAAACTGGTTATCAGTGATTCAAGATGCGTTCTTGTTGTCATTATTGCTTCCCTACCACCTAACTCAACCAAATAACCAGAAAGTTTTTGCTGCTTTTGACCTTAGTAAAATCAAATCCAGGCCCTTGTGAATGATAGTACCACAGGAAGTTGTACTGTGATATTTTTGGTTTTATTACTCTGACTCAAAACTACTTTCATTATTTTCCTCTCATCCATGCCTTTCATTTCAAAATAGAGGCTCTAGAAACTAGTGTAGAGATTTCTCAAAGAACTAAAACCAAAAATTCCATTTGACCCTGCTATTTTCCCTTCTAGGTATCTATACAAAAGAGTTATGGGCTGGTGATATAGCTCAGTGGCATAGTGCCTTCCTGGTAAGCATGAGGTCTTGAGCTCAATTCCTGACACCATACAAAAAAATTAAAGTAGCCTATATGTCCATCAAAGATGAATGGGTAAAGAAAATATGGTATTTATACACAATGGAGTACTACTCTGCCATAAAGAATGATAAATGAGTTATTTGCCACAACTAATTATACTCTTTATGTTAGATGCAAGAGAAGATATTTATGTATCTATTTCCCACCTTTCAAAAAATAATTAACTCAATGAAGGCATAAAAAATAAAGACATTGAAAAACCTAGGCTACTACAAAAGAGCACAGAATTTAGTTCTTAGTTCACAGTTAGGTCTTGGTTCACAATCAGAACTAAATGAGAAAGGCAAGGAGTCATGTTTAATAAAACAAACCAATTAATCAAGAAAGGAAGAAAAAGAAGTTTTTAAAAAAATCATCTAAAATTAGAATGATATATAAGCTGTGGATATTTTTGCATGGGAAACACTGGATTACACAAGAAATGATGTCACTTGTTAAATCCATAACTTCCTATTGGATCTATTATTATATAATTTGTATTTTATTTAAATCAACTGAAAGAATTCATGGGCTGGATCTGCCTCTTATTCTATGATTCTTCAACCCTCAAGAAATAGGCAAATTTGTTGGCAAACTCCTAAATCTGATATGCCGCTTGTTTGCAAATCAAAATGTTTTACTGGAACACAGCCACGCTTATTCATTTATGTCTTGTCCACACTAAAATGGCAGAGCTAAGCTGTGGCAAAACAAAGTAAAAAATTATTTTTGATTTTTGGAGCTTTATAAAGTAAAGAGCCAATCCATGATATTTTTTCATTGAAATGATTAATTAATCATAAAAATATGTAAATTCCTTAAGTTCAAGAGCAAAAGTGTGAACAATTAAGAAACAGAAGAACAAACTGTGACACAGTTAAAATACACACATCTACAATTTTGATATAATTTATTAAACTTTGTAAAAAGAACAGTAGGATAGATAGAAACTGGGACTTTGTGTTTTAGTTCAGACCTACCCTCATCAATTCTCAGCACCTATAAAGGACCATATTTTCAATATGATTACCATATGTAATAGTCTACATGAAAATCATCTATTTCTGGCATAAATCTGATGAACAACAGCAAGTTCATGAGGGGATGGTTCCTCAAGATTGTGATTTTCTGTAAGAATTTGACTATGGAACAGAGGATCTATCTGGAAGCAAATAAAAGTACTCCAAATATCTTTTCCTTATAGTTCCATATTTTCCTGGGCCTCAGTCTACCTACCATACTCCCATATGACTTCTGACAGTGGATGGATAAACAAGTTCACATCACAAGAAAATCCCTTGACATCCAAAACAGAAATCGCACAACTTTTAGCTTAGAAGTCTTAGAACAAGTTTGAGGTCATTGTTAGGACTCAGCTGAGTGGATACGATAAAACCCACATTTCATCTCTTTCTAGCCAGTAAGTGATAACCATGATGTACCCCCAAAAATCCAAAGTTTCCAAGCATATTTAAAACATAAAAAGTATTTTTCCTTGAGTTTCTTTATCTTGGTTGCTAGTCAAAACATGGATGATCCTTTCAGGATATGACTGAAGAAGGCAAGTGAGTTAGGTATAGTTAATTCATTTACTCATTCAACAAATAAATCCAGTGTTTCCATGAATATTTCAGTGTTTCTAAAGTAATACAATTTAAGGCACCATTGCTAGCAAAAGGAATAAAGTTGCTGTTCTCATAGATAGGCAGCGCAATAGTAAATAAATGCTGAATACAGTGGCAGGCACTGCTAAGAGACAGGAAAATCTAAGAAAGCAGGACCAGAGGGATGAGGGCTGCTCTTTTAGATCAATGATGGAAAAAGGCCTCTCTAAAGAAAAGACATCTGAGCACAGACCTAAATCCAGAATGAAACGCAGGTGCAGGTTATTATAGTTGAGAGTCAGCATTCCAGCTGGAGGAAACAGGTAGTGCCTGGCTCCTGACCCAGATACCTGGTACACTAGAAAGCAGGAAAGATGTCATGGCTGCAGTACAGAGAGTGGAGAGGAAAAGAAAAGCCTTGGAAGGGCCTGTAGAGGCTGCTCATGGACAGCTTTGGGACTCATGATTAGGGGGTCTTGATTTTATTCTCAGTGTGACAAGTAGTTGCTAGAGGATTTTGGGCAGAGAAATATTATTAGAAATAACTACTCTAAATCACATTCTAAAAGTATTGCATTACTTCTTTGGTGAACTGGCCAGTCCCTGGAGTAAGGTACTTACCTAGGCCACTTTTAATATTCATTTCAATGTGTTTTATGTAGCAAATATTTGGCTTCCCAGCTATAACTTAATGACATAATTTCCCTACAGTAGAAAAACAACTCTGCCAGGGTCCAGTGGCATATTCTTTCGAAAAGCTTTCTTGCATCTTTATTGTACTGGAGCCAGACAAAATTTACCCTAAAATGCTTTATGCCTTGAATTTTTTACTCTCTGGAATCAAAGAGAAAAATGCATGTAATAAAAAAAATACAAACTTGCTTGGTAAATAAGTTTCCCAATTTAATAAAGTACACAGACACAGGTAAAAAATATCTCTTTGCCCTTCATAAATTCTGCAAAGAGGAGGGGAACTAGAGGTTAGAAGTCAAGAAAATGCCATCATATTATATTTATATTTTACTACCAATTAATGAATTGCAATGCACACTGGCTGTGCTATTTCCTATGCTATTAGAGACACATAGGTAAAGTTATGGAGCACATCAGAATTAGAAGACACTGGAGTTCATTTCATTCTCTCCACAACTTTTTTGAAAGGATGAAACGAAAAATAAGAAATTGTATGGATAGAAGCATGACAGGAACTTAAAGACACTAATTCCTGTTTTTTCTATTTTGAGGGGGTATTTTTCTGTGTTTCCATATTAAAATATTCAAAACACTCAGTACTGTAATATTCAATATTTTTCCTACGGAACTATTACAGTGTTTTGGCAAATGTTTATTGGGTGCCCATTGTGTTTTTCAAGAAGATAAATAGGTGGTATAGATCCATAGATAAATACACTTGATCTTAGCCAAAAGGCAGAGAAGCAATCCATAGATAAATAGAAAATCAAATGCATTCAACAGCAGAAGTTGATGCATTTATTTATCATCCATTCAAAATACATTTGCTGAGCTCCAATGATATATCAAATACTAATCCTTAGAGAAAGAAAAGGGAGTTGCACAAAAGCAGTGTCTGAAGTGATTTTTGAAGGATGGATAGGGTTTGGTTAGAAGAGAAAGAGGAAAAGTTCTTTAAGAATAAGCAGCAGTCCAGATAGAGATTAGAGGTCTTAGGGTGTGCCGAGAGGCAATTAACGTGGGTGGGATGAAGGGAAAATGCACAGTGAGATGTTTGACTCCCTCTATAAAATGCTTTTATGTATCATAAAATAATAGATATTTTTGTTTCTCTGGAGACATCTGAGATTCTCTTGTAAGTGCAGATGCTGCTGTTGTCTGTTCATAAATGCTCATCCTCACTGCTTCAGCACGTCCTAACCTGACTTCTGATTGTTTCCAAAGAGTTTTCTTCCCTGAGTTTTCTCTGGCCACTCACTCTACTGTACCTGTCCTTGGAGCAGACCTGAAGTTCTGGAATATTCACAGTGCTGTCCCTCAATCTCCATCAGTGGTCCTTACCAATGATTCCTAGTAGTGGATGTTTGAACACATCAGCCCCCTAGTACTTCAAATGAGATAACTTTGCAATATGTGTTCCAGGCTTTTCCCCAGAATTTCTCCAGGAAAACTAAATGCCAGCTCTTTCTGCTTTCAAGTCAAGAAAGTACCCTTTATTGGCTGCCTTTCCAACCCTATCTCTTTATACCCCTTACCACACCCCTTCTTTTAGCTTCCAAATAAAATATCTATACTTAGTTCTTTGTCTCAGGGGCTGTTTCTGTAAAAACTGAAGTGTTAAATATCAAGACCAGATTTGTATTTCAGGAACAAATCCTACATGCTTGTGTGTAACACAGAACCACACGGAGAAGAGTATACGAGAGCACAGGCCCCTTGGAGGTCAGTTAGTGCCTGGATTCCTGTGTACAGTGATGACTAAGATGCTACAGGTGAAAAAGAACGGGAATGCAAAGAAAAGCTCTAAGAATGTACTGCATAACTAGACCTTAGG